GTTTAAAGAGTTTTCCCCATCTGACTTTCATCTTTTTTTTTTTATTGACGACCACCAGGCGACTGATGGGGCCGAAGATTCCCCATTTCCCATCTCCGCACTCGTAATTAAATATCCAAATTGAGTGTAAGCAAATGCCGCCGTCTTCTAGCTATGCAGGGGTTGGATCGAGATCGGGATCGGGATCGAGATCTTTATGTGGAGCTGTATCTGTTTGTGGCTCAAAATAGCGACGCATCCAAGTGAGGCATTTTTGTGCAACCCACGCCAAAATGGGAAGAACTTAATGTGGGGGGTTGGGGGGATTTACAACTACTGCATTTGCATGGGCTGTCTTTATGTGCATTTTCCTCTACTACCCCTTTCCCCTAACTCCACCCACACTCCTTGACTTTCAGCTCTTTCCTATTTCTGTCTTTGTTGCTGTTGCTGCTGCTGCTTATGCAAACGCATGGGGCATGTCTCCCGCAACTGTGGCGACTCCAACTCCTGCACTGAAATTAATGATCCAGTTTTTTTTTTATTTCCTTTATCTGATCAGTTCAATGATCTTTTAGACATTGCACAAAAAGTGAACTGAATGAACTTTATGAACTTGTTTTTTCATATTTCTTAAAAGGCGTTAACATTACCTCATTCCAATTGAACAAATATTGTTAAGCAATTTATAAAAACAAATGTTTTAAGAAGGCTAAATATGGTGTTGAACAATAAACTTAAAAATCTCTTATTAAGATAAGAATTTAAGGCTAGATCTTTTTAATATTTAATAATAATATGCAATGATTGGGGTCACAAATTACAATATTCACCTAGGAAAGGGAAAATTATCTTTTTTTTTACTTTTACTTGATATCCTTCATGACTTGATATTCCAAAGTTATCGATAAATAAAGACATTACTCACTACCCTTAAAGTTATCATAAAATAGTTTATCGATAATAATCATAACTTATATCTCCCTATTCTCTATTTCCCATGATTTTTCCCAGTGCATCAGGCCATACAACTTTGGCTCCATCTGGCTGCATTTTAGTTTTTCTCCAGCGGGCATAGACAATGAAAAACATTTTCCTGTCGCTGTCTCTGTTTTTGTGTCCCTTGTTGTTGTTGTTGTTGCTGATGTTCCTGTCCCTGACTGGGTCCCCATCCCCTTATATGTTACCCCCGCCCCTGTCCTTGCTCCCCTTAAGCCCCGTCTCCCCATCCCACCACTTAACCCCCTGTCGCCGCCCATCGAACATCAACATAAAAATCCATGCGATGTCGATGACTTTTTTGTTTTGCCTGTTCCTTTTTGACTGTTGTTGTTGCTGTTGTTGTTTCGTGCTCTATGCGTTTTGTCTTCTTTTTTTTTTTGTTTTCCTCTCTTCTGCTCTCTCCGTCACTTACATATTTAAATGTGCATATGGTATCCACTCTCTCCGCGCTGTTGTTATTGTTGTTGCCCTGTGACGTTGCGTAGTCGCATGTGAATGCTCTCTAATCTGCTAATGTCGTTGAACCTTTCCTGTACTTTACTTGTTTTTTTTTATTGTGCCGTTTACTCGACTTTATTGTTATTATTATTATTTTTGCGCTACTCTCCCGTTTGTATTTTCCTTATTGTGTGTTTGCTTTTACAGATTCGCTCGTATGTTTGCTCCGCTTGCGGATCTTCCGCACAGATCCGCTCTCGTTTCGCTCTCCCTCTCTTTGGGAATTACTTTATGTCATAGCTGACAACAGCAACAACAATAACTGCCGATGACAATGATAACAGCAGCAGCAAAAGCATCAACAACAACGGACAGGGGCGGGTTATGTTAGAAGGGGGGCGTTTGTGGTATGTAGCCCCTACAGAGAAGATAACTCCCTCTAAATCTTAATCTATCTTATCTATAAGAGTGTGAAATTTGAATAAAATATTTTTATATTTATATGGTACTAGGTGTATGATCAGGATTAGAAGATATATATAGCGAAAAGATGCATCTGCATATCGTTATTCAAATGTAAACTTAAACTTTTACATATTCCCAAAAACCCCGTAAAACTAAGTTTAGTCCTCGCCCATGACAAGTGCACACGTGCAATTCTGACGCTGCCTCGGAGCAATTATTTCCAATTTAGCAAAACAACACAACAGCAGCAGCAGCAGCAGCGGCAGCATGCAGCATGGAGCTTGCAGCATAAGTATCCGAAGCTATAGCTATAGATTGTGCCCCTGTCCGAGATCAGGGCTTGGCTCATGGCTGTGGACCTGCTCCTATTGTCTTTCCATCAGTTCATTGCCCGATGCCCAGATGCAGCAGCTCTAGCATCATACTATAAAGTCACACGGAGAAAAACTACTTTACTTTATATCAAAAAGGCTAAAATATTGAGAAAACAACATATTAGTTTAATCTATTATTATCATTCCATAGAATACCTACTCTATCACCAAAAATCAGGGTCAATTTAGACTTAAGTAAGTTAGTATAACTTCTTAGGGCTTTGTATTTAAGTGATTACAAATCTGAACTACTAAATTTAAAAATGGGATACTAAAAAAAGTAATGATAGCTTTTATTAGGTTTTAACCTCTAACCACACCTTCAGTTTTATGATACCGAAAACAAGACCATAAATCAATTCGAATTAGTTCCAGTGCAGCCCCAACCCAAAATGCAATCCCCATCATCAGCTTGGTCATCACGGGAACTGAGGACTGAAGACTGCAGAATCGAGACTGAAGCTGGGGTCAGGTCTGTTCCATGGTCCATGCAATTACTCCATGTACTTGGGACTGTAATAACACGGACGCGAACTGTACGTAAACTGGTTGCAGGATGCTGCTCCCGCTGATGTTGATGTTGATGTTGCTGTTGCAGTTGCAACTTGGAGCAACCTGGAGCCAGGCAGCGACTTTCTAGCCGGTGTTATCTGTCTATATCTATCTAGGAAAACCAGTTATTGGGGGCCCAGGCTTGTTGCACGCCCATTTCGAGCTGAGAGCTCCAGCCCCAGCTTCATCTCCATCTCCAGCTCCAGCCCAGCTCCTCGTCGTCGGTTGTTGTTAAAGCTAAAGTGGCTATAGTTGCTGTTGATCGGAGCAGGACTAAGACCTGTTGCCGGTTGCCAGTTGCTGATCGCCGATGTTGCTAGTGTTTTCGATGTCTGCAGCAAGCAGCGCTTAAGCAGCGATCCAAGTGCTACGTGCAACGAACAACTTGCAACTCCCGAACTGGATTTGCCGAAGGCTGTTGACTCCGTTGTTTTTCTATTGCCAGTTTGCTAGGTTTGCCAGTTCAGAGGCTCTGGAGGCTCATGACTTCCTTCTTGGTTCTTTCTTCGGACTGGGGGATATCGAAGAAAGAAAAAACCCAACTAGTACAGCTGCAAGTTCGTTGACTCCAAGTGAAGCTATTCTAATGCCTGGCAAACGTGTTTGGCAACTTGCAATCTGATTGGCAGTGGGGGGAGCTAAATGGAAAATGGGAGTGGGTGCGGTGCCTCATCTACTCATACTTCTACTCCTACTCCTCCCATTCTCATTTCCATAGTAACCAAAATCGACCCGAGAAGTCATCGCCTTACTAATTGCCCGCCAGGGAATTGAAATTGAAATGAAATTCGCATTGAAGCGTGAAGGGAAAATCAAATGAAATGCACATTGAGGCTCATGTGGGGCAAACTAAAGCGATTTTAAGTGGAAAACGGGTCGAGGTTTTCAGTTCGTCAATAAACTGGATTCTCCTGATAAGAAAATGTGACATATTTATGGGTGATATTTGTTTACGAACTGAAAGGCGTTAAGTATATTTGCTTGAGAGTTATGTTTGTCTGTAAAGTTGATCGTAAAATAATTATTTTTCAATTTGATTTTATTACTTGTTATTAAAACATAAAAAAAAGATAGTCTAGATATGAAACAATGGGCAGTTATGTCATTATTAGTACGTAAATAACTCATTCATAAACTCTCAATTAATTTTAAAGTTTATCATCTTGTTTGTTAGAATCAGCTTAACTCTTTTTTCAAATTTAATTAGGGTTTATATATAATGAATTGTTGCCTAATCATTTGTTAACATTTGAATTAGTAGCATCAAGTTAATGAGTAGAATTAACGTAACTAATAGCTCTAAATAACATGCCATACAAGAAATAACCAAAACGAGATTGTTTGTCAACTTGTTTTCGGTTGATAAATACAAACAATTAGTGAAATAACATTAAATAAATCAAGAGTGTTAAAACAAATGCTTATTCATGAATTAAAATATTATGTATGCCATGTGGTTAAGAGCTGTTTGGAGTTACTTAGATTTAGTTACTTTATTGAAAGATTTAAGAGCCAAGACTTGAACTTTTCTGTAGATTTCTTTTCCATTTACCTAACTAACTTTCCAAAAACTCTTCTCCTATCTAAATAGTTTTCAAGATGAAAAGGAAAACAAATCAGAAGAAAGAGTTTTTGAAATTTCCTAGGAAGTAGAAACTTATTCGTCCATTCACCTCATTACAAAATTCCAAAGAGTACAAATTTCGGCTTTCGATTTGGGATGTCCATCAACTCAAAAAAAAAAACAACTTTATTGACACGGGCATAAATATCAATTTACGCCCAACTTTTTTTTTGTTGTGCCGATGATGGTTTTATTTTCTCGAGCACCATCTGTTGTGTGTGGCAGTGTGCCTGAAGGGCAAGAACAGGCCAGGCCCTGTCGAAGTGTCCAAGTTCCAAGATCTGGGTCTCGGTCTGGGCATAATGGCTAGCCTATTTCGTACCAGGGCTGGCCTGTCCATCATCATCGATTTCCAAGACCCCGTTTGTTGCTCTTTGGGGCCAATCAGTCAGCGAGGCACTCAGCGGAGCGTGAATGGCAATTGCTGATATCCACACATTCAATTAATAAAATCAACAGCAAGGGCTTCAGCTACGTCCAGCTCCTTATCGCAATCGTCCGTCCAGTGGGAACGATTGGCAGGACATGTCATTAGCCAGGCTGCCAGGTTCAGTTGTGACTCGATTATGGCCGGAAAAGGTGTGGAGAGCTGGTCGCGATTCCTGCTCTTGTGGCTATATCGTTTTGCCCGCGGTCTGTCGCTGCTCTCCTCGAACTTGGATAGGGAAAAGTTGCAGTTAAAGAATCCAAAACGTGGCAGTAGCAATCGTATCCTTAGTATCCTTTGGCGATGCTTGATTGTTCTGATATACGCAGGAGTATGGCCATTATTAACCTCTTCCGTAACGGGGAAACGTGTGGAAAGCTATGCTGATCTCTTTGCCCTGGCTCAATCTTTTTCGGTTTTCATTTTGGCCATTATATCGTTTATAATCCAGGCAAAGGAAGAGAACAAATTCCGAGAGGTGTTAAATAGATATTTATCCTTGTACCAAAGGATATGCTCGATTACACATTTGCAGCAGCTTTTCCCATCGAGATTTGTGTTTTTCTTTTTGCTAAAACTATTTTTCACCATATGTGGCTGTTGCCATGAACTAATACCTTTGCTACGAAGCGAACACTTTAATAATATTGGCCAAATAGTGGCTGTCGTTTTTGGCATCTACATGTGGCTTGGAACTCTGTGCGTCTTGGATGCTTGCTTCCTGGGATTTTTGGTCTCTGGAATTCTGTACGAGCATATGGCTGAGAATATTATAGCCATGCTGAAGCGAATGGAACCCATAGAGTCAGAGGAGGAGGGAGTTCGCATGAGTAATTATCGTCGGATGCGTCTCCTTTGCGACTTTGCTGATGAGCTGGATGAATGTGCCGCCATCTACAGTGAACTCTATGAAGTCACTATCGCTTTTCGCAAAATGCTGCAATGGCAGATCCTCTTCTATGTTTACTATAACTTTATAAATATCTGCTTAATGCTATATCAATATATTCTACAATATCTGAAAGACGATGAAGTGGCTTTGGTGTCTTTGGTCATGGCTTCGGTTAAGTTGGCTAATCTTGTTCTGCTAATAATGTGTGCTGATTACACGGTGAGGGAGTCACAGAAGCCAAAGAAATTGCCTCTGGATATAGTTTGCAGCGATATGGATCAGCGCTGGGATAAGAGTGTATGTATCTTTGTATTTGTACCTTAACTTAAGCTGTATTTCAAAGTTATTAACTTTTCCAGGTGGAAACTTTCCTTGGCCAATTGCAAACTCAAAGATTGGAGATAAAAGTTTTGGGATTTTTTCATCTTAACAATGAGTTTATCTTGCTCATACTATCTGCTATTATATCCTATATGTTTATACTTATACAGTTTGGCATTACAGGTGGCTTTGAGGCCTCTGATGATATTAAAAATCAATTTGATTAAAGATCTTAATAACTCCATTTAGTTTTTCTGATATAGAAGATCTTATAAACTAAATATGTAAACTATTTCCTTAGTTTCTTCAACACCCTCGCTCTATGGACTCTGAATCTCTAACTAGTTAACCTCTACCGCTGAAGTTCACCTGAGCCGCCCTGAGTTCATTATCGTTCATTATATCTCATACCACAAGGCATTCTGATACAATTTTCGGAGTGCCTCCGAGATGAGCTCGTTAAGAGTCCAACGAAAAAAATTAAAGAAATGGGAATGAGCAACGAAAAAATTGAAATTTCACGTCTGACACGGTGTAATTATCATAGTTCCTCCATCTCCTGAACACCCGCTACTCAAATCCCACCTTCATTACGCCCACTACACTGGAAGAAAAAGGGGAAATATTTTAGTTTTTAGATTTGAAAAAGTTAAATATGAAAATGAATCATTTTTTATCAATATTTTTGCATATTATAGTCGGAAAATCATTGTTAAAATAAACCAATATAGTTTTTAAGATATAATAGCATTATATAATATATGAATAACAGTGGACTTTCCTCTTTCCACCCCCAATCTTCTTTTCATCACTTTGATCGTCATCGCAATCGTCTCGTCTCAAGTCTTTGATTATTTTGGGCGTCAGCGGAGCGTAACGCGCTTGTCACGCCTATTATATATGTACACTCTCTATACATATATATATATCAGTTGAGGGGTCAGAGGAGGCAGAGAGGCATCTGAACCCGGGATTCGATCCCACTGACCCGTGAGTGCGACGGTGGCGAAATGGAAACAAAGCAAACACAACGGCAGAAATACGCGCCTTGGCCTGCAACTGAATTAATTTCCGAGCTCTCTGCTCCGCTGCACACGCTCGGGGTTTTTGTTTTTCCTGGGTGCAGAGAGGGGAGGTGCAGGGTAGATACCCGAGATATATGTATATTTTAAACTTGGAGTCGGGAGGGGGAGATCTTCCAATCCCTGACACTGACGAGAGTACATTCAAATTTTTCGCTTGGTTTTGCGCCCATTTGAAGCGAGTCTGGCCAAAAGCTCTGGCCAAGCCATGCATATTTCCGGCCAGCGGAGCTCTGATCTGATCACCGGATCCACAAAAAAACCCCTCTGCCAGGGACCCAGGTAACCCATAGCCATTCCAGAGAGCCATGAGCAACGTTCCCGTTTCGCTGATTTCCTGTCGTTCGCAACATTTCAGGTATTTTGCAATGTAATTAGTTCGGAAGCTACGGCACCGGCACTGCGATTGAGTCGAGAATGGTTATTGGAATGGGGCACTGCACTGGGCTGGCACTGCACTTTGGCGACCCAGCCTGCAGCTGGGAGTCAGAGTTGGAGCTGTGGCATTGTCGGGATGCCGCCGACAGTTGAAAGATGCCGCCGCCAAAGAGTCGCGGTTGCATGTATGTACCACCCAATTCCCCCACTTTGTTGTCTTTTGAGCATTTGTACACATGTAACTAGAGATGGAGAGAAGAAAGTAAGAACTATCAGATACCCTTTAATGTTACGTTTTGGGGGAAAAGGCGCATCTATTATACTTCTACAAGAACTTTCCTAAATGAAAAAGAAAGCTTTATTCATTTCATCGTTTCGGAAAGTATAACAAAGCTTAAAAGAAATTTCTGAATCATTTTCCCTCTTAAATTTTTCATGTCTCTATGCTTTCTTAATCCAGACTTGAAAACAACTCTCTATAATGGTCATACTATTAAATACAAATTTTGAAAAATATATATTTAATTGAAATATTCATTAAGATATTCCTCCCTTAATAGGTATCACAAGCCTAAACCTCTGCATAGTCATTCTATTGAATGAAAAACAGTGGCGTTGCCTTGGGGTTCTAATCAAGTGGGCTGGTGAGCAAATACGCGTCGGCAAACACTTTGACCTTTGTAGAATCCACAGAAGCTGCCGCCGTCGGTGCCGCCGCCGCAGAAGCCAAACAAGCGAAGAGCATCGGCTACGTCATGTTCCACATACTTTCACTTACGAATCGCCAGAAACAAAATAGAAACCACAATCGCAATCAACACGAAACGTGATCGTGAGTGGGGGGAAAGAGGCCTAGGAATAGAATGAGATCGTGTGTCCATAAACGTGACATAAACACAAGAATAATAACAACTTCATTTGTTATAAGACTAGGGAATCGTTGGAGTGAGAGGGTAATAGTGTTAACTGGGTAAGATCGGCAAACAAGTGTGCCCGAAATTTGTTGTTTATTTGTTTGTTTGTTTGAACTTCATTTGTGGAGCAGCAAGCGGAGTCTAGACTCTAGACAATTGCCACTTTTTCCAAGCCCAGAACGAGAACGATAAATTCCCTGATTGTGGAGCTGTTACTGCGATCGAAGAAGAAAAGACTACATACGATCAGAATGCATAGTAAATTAAGTAGGCGGCAGATACGCGAATGGGGCACAACCATACCCATACCCATACCCAAGAAAAACATCTGTAGGTTGTTGTGTTCTCGTATCTCGAAGATAGAGATATCGGGACAGAGTTGCGGGGGAGTGAACCCCCGTACTACGCTTCTTTTCAGATACCTACGTACGTACTACATACGTAGCCAACATACCAAAAACGGCAAATGCCAAATACCCGTTTTTGGCCTAAAAACCTACAAAGCCAACAAACAACAAGTTGCCCAACCAGCGAGTGTAAACTTCCACGAATTCGTTGATGACCTACTACAGAAGTTAAGATAAACTTTGACATGGACTGGTCTGGTTTGGTTTTTTGGTAAAGGGAATTACAAGGTTAAGGGCTCTTACGATATTTAAGGTTCTTAAATTTTTCAGCAGAAATGTTACAAAATTAGACCAACTTAGGAGGAGTTGCTTAATCTTTAGTTCCTATGAAACTGGAATATGTTTTTGATAGTTTAAGCTACATTACATCAGTGTTATTAGTACGGATTGATAATTATTTGAGTTACCATTCAAATTCTTAAGTAGAATTTCCCTTTTTACACATTTTCTATCAAAAACAAACATCGAAAATGTGTTCTTTGTTCTCCTTTTTTTGTTTACTCAATAGATTTCACATATCTAAGGCCTGAAAGCATTATATCATTATCAAACCACACTTAAGTTATTTATCTTTATTACCACATCATCATTACGGCTAGCAAACAATTTGAATATTACAAAAGGGGAACATTGAATGAGGTCAAGAACCCGCTGGGACATCGAAGTTGCGCTATCTTATCTACAAGTTGCATTAACCGCAGTTGCAAACGGAACAGATCAAACAAAAATTCCACGCGCTCGAAGTATCCAAAATAATACCCTACACCCGATCGGTGGCGTATCCAAAAAAAAATATATGTACAATGCGTCATTTGTGATGGTTAAAAAGGTAAAAGATGGCTAAGGAGGGGGTGGTGATCGAGAGGCGATTCCAACACGCACACATTCTCTGACATCGCGTTATTTGTGTGTTCGATGAACCGAAATTCGAAATTCGGTGTGTGTCTGACCTACTTTCCCACAAAAATTCACGCACTTTATGGCAAATGGAATCCACACAAACAGTGTTAGAAAGAGACTAGTCTGCAGTTAGAGAGAGATAGGTAGAACAATTTAGAAAGAGAAGGTTGTATAACAAAATAAGCGAAAGAGACGACGGCAAACTTGGTCATTTCTTAATTGAGGTCGACTACAGTCGATCGTAAAAGAATATTGATTTGCGGGTTTCGTATGTTGCAGTATTTTATTAGTATTTTTTTGCTGCTGGTATTAAGTGTTTTTAAAGCTGCTGTAGAGAGAAAAAAGACTAAGCAACTTTAACTATAAACTTTAACTTTAAATAATGTAAAATTGGAGATGTAAACTTAATTTATTTCCTTAAAAGTCTTGTGTTTATTATTTTACAACTTCATGAGTATAATATACTAAGATATCCCTAATTTTTCTAATATTTTCTCTCAGTGTCTTTTCCCATTTGTTGTCGTTGTTTAGTGTTTTTTCAAGCTTCGTGTTTCTCTTATTCTTTCGTGTAATTTACGCAACGTTCGCTCGTTTGTCGTTGTCTCTCGGCTACTTGTCTTTGCATTGAGTCGAGAGCAACAACACAGCAGCAGCAGCAACAACACAGCAGCAGCAGCAGCAACAACATAGCAACAGCAACAGCAACAACATCACGAGATCAACAACATCTGCAGCAGCGCTGCTTCTGCTGGCAGAGTGTTGAACTTTTTGCTTTATTTTTTTATTTTTGCAGCTCCCAAATCTGAAATCACAAACCAGTTTTGAGACCTGGGCTTGCCACACTTCTCGGCCAAATCAAAAAGCTGGCCAAAGCCAAACGAAAACTTGACGTACATCGCGCCCCTCCCCTTCCTCTCACTCTCTCTGCCCCAATGATGTTGCTGCTGCTGTAGATGATGTTGCTGTTGCGGCTGCTGCTGCTGGACTGTACTTTTTGTTGTTTGTGTTTGAAAGTGAGCAAAAGCTGCTGCTGCTGTTGCTGTTGCCCGCTGGGGGGAGTGTTGATTGAAATCGATCTGTGGCAGAGCAACATGCAACATGCAATGTGCAACATGCAGCATTAGCCACTCAGCCAGCTAGAGTCCGATATGACCTTGTTGCAGTGCAACGGCAGCAATCTGTTGCAGCTGCGGATATCTATAATTTGGTTGGGCTTTAAACTGATCTGCTGGCCGTATAATTAATCGCGCAGCATCAACATGGGTGCAGCATCCCTAAACCCCCCAAATCCCTCTCTCACTCTTTCTCCATCGTTACTGATCCTGCTTCCCCCCTTTTTACCACGCCTAGTGCTTGTCGTTTTTGAAAACGAGCGCATAAATGACGCTTTCCTGTGTACTTAAGGTGTCTAAACTTGACTACCGTGTGGAGTTGTCTGCCCCCTGCTCCCTCGTACTCCCTTTGCCCTGCACCTCACACCTGTAGCTATACCTACTACTATATCCATGCCAAAACCCAGAACCATTCCCATTCCAAAAAACTTAAAATCATCCGCAACCTTGCCCAAGACAACAACTCCTGTTGCTGTTGCTGTTGCTGCTGTTGCTGTCGATGACCATTATTTTAGCTGACGGCGATATATTTGCTCAGCCTCAGCTCGCACAGGGGCAGTGGCACTGGGGAACTCGCATCTGTGCGTCTGTCCAAGTTCATGCACTCTAAGAAATTCTAGCTGAAAAACTTCTAACTGTGATTTAGAGCAAGTAGATGCTTTACACCTTTCTTTGCACCGGAAAAATCATTTACACCTAAAAATTTAAACTACTTCAACTTTTTAGGTCTTCAAAAACTATTCTTGGACATATTTTAAGGAATGTCAGAGTTGCCTTTTAGGGAGAAAAGTTTATAGGTTATATAGCTAAGATTCTATCAGCTTTAACATTTTCTAATAACTTACATTTTATACCTGAAATATTACTCAATTAAATAAACTTTCTAGCAGTACAGCCTGTCTAATAAACTTTTAATACTTTAAAAAATACATTGTAAGACAACATTCACCGGTTTAGCAAGCTTTAATCATATACAACCTTGTTCCCAATCCCCATCAAACGATTTATTTGCATCGTGCAATAACAATTTCCAAGACGTATGTATTTCATGAGATTAAAAATCGAGAACAAGGCTAATTGTCATTTAAATGGAAATCATTTGTCAGTTTTAGTTGTTAAAAAAACGGAATGGGAATGACTTGGTTTCATTTTTGCTAACCAGCTCAAAGTATGAACCCTAAAAATGATTTATCTACCTTTGAACCAAACTTAATACCATTTCTTTCAGTGTTTAAACATGGGTCCATCGTCCGCTCTCGCTGTTTTCTTTGGGGTGTTGGCTACCGTCGGACGGCTTGGATGGTGCTTTTTGTTTTTGCTGTACCGGCTGAGTCCCACCGCTGATGCCCAGATGTACAGCCACTGAGCGGAGCATGACAAACAGTTGCAGGCAAAGCAAATAATTAGTATACATCGATTATCTTTCGCCCGGGTCCGACCTGGCCCGTGGCTACTGTGCAGAGCTTTAGCTATAGATTTTTGTTTTGCTTTCTGATTTTGTTTGCTATCCAGGTTTCTTGAATCCGACTGCTGGCTGTAAACTGGATCCATCTCCAGATGTTGGCACGTTGCACACGCGCGCTGTACTCCAGCATCGCAACTTCCAACTGGGCGTGTGTCTGAGCGCCTACGCGCCCCCAAAACTCAGCCCACAAAACGGGTTCCCCTTCGCAATTCGCAATTCGCGATTCGCCGATTCCCGGCCATATGTGTGTGCGCTGTGCTGTGCTGTGCTCGTAAAATGCTGTGCCAGAAACTGTACCCCAACCCAACCAGATCTCTGGCCATGTCCCCATCCATATCTCCCACTCTTGACTCCAACTCCAACTCCAACTCCATGAGCAGCTACCATCTCCATCTCCAACTCCGAAGCTGGGACGTGTGCTCAGCTCGTGCCAATTTCTTTGGGGCCTCCAACTTTTACAGTCGCCTGCGAAACGTTTTGTCTTCACTTGGTTTCTGCATATAAATACGAATATTCACATACAAATAAAAGAGGTATATAGTTATATTAGGGTGGGTCAATATGAGGGAAATTTTGAAAAAATAATAGTTGGTAGTTGCTTTAAAAATAAGGGACTGTTTGGTTAAATTTTTCTATTTTTAAAAGGTCATTTATAGGACTTCCTATATATATAAACCATTTTTTAATATTACTTTTTCTTTTATAACTTTTTTAGTACCTTAACACATCGTTTTATAAATCCACTAATGTCAAAGATATAAAACCGAATCCACAAACATCAAAAAGAAAGTCAAAATATCAGAGGTGATGAAGACCAATTTGATCTTTGATAATTAAAAATCCATTAACTTCCCAAGTATATTTGTTTTTACTTTAGCTTAAAGTTAATCATCTTATTTATATTTCCAACTTCACTAAAAACGTTCCACCTTAACACCTAAAAGCCTGTGTATGTATGCACTTAGAATGGCAAAGCGTCTAGAAAAGGTTGGGCTGCAATAGCAGTAATGTGCCATTTTTAATTAGCTTCATGAATAAAATTGACAACCCAGTGGGACTTTTAAAGGGGGCGAATGATTGAAGGGGGAAACTATAGTACTTACTTTTCCAGTTCGTAAAGCAATAAAGTCAATTTTAGCTGTGCATTCCGAGGAAGGAAAATTCCAATGCACTTCGTGACGGCACCTTGATTGAATATGACCTAAATTGATTGATGTGGAAGCCCAGTAATTGGCTCCCTACCAGGCCTAGTCGGGGTAATTATGAAAATCAACAACAAATTGGTGTGATAAATTCCAAAAAAAAAAAACCAATAACATATAGATAAGATACAGCTCATTATTGTCTTTGGTAGATGTTAAAGTCAACTATAAAGTTGTCAGATCAAGGAAAGAACGGTGGGTTATATAGCCGAAGTTATATCAAAAGGAAAATAAAGTTATATAAGCTTTTTAGCTTCTATAATTATCACTTTTACTTTGTTTCTCTGATAATCTCTAAACTCATTTTAGCCTGAAAACAACCTTAACAATAATTTATAACTTATGATTGCATAACTGTTCTTCGCACGCGTAATTTTACCCATTCTGGGAGCCCAAAAATTCAAATCTTTCTTTCTTTTTACCTTCCTTGACTGTTCTTCTATTGAAAAAACTTCATGACCAGATGGTGGCCCCTTGTAGATCAGATTAGATAACAGACCTGCGGCTACCTCAAAATGTTATATCATCAAAAATGGCTAACAAAAAAAAAAGAGGCTTATATCATCCAGCTGCCAACTGGAAGCCCTTTTTGCCTAATTGAGTAATAAATAAATTAGAACTAATTACGCCCATTGTGTCGATATGTGAAAAAGGGTTTTTCAGGGAGTTTTTTGTTTCCCTTTTCGCCACTCAATTTTCGTGTGGTAGAATTATAGCAATCAACCGGCCAGCAGTTACATTTTAGCAATTCTCAATGGGTTTCCGGGGATCCAAAAATATATATACGAAAAAAAAAGCTTTTAGGGCTAATGGGTCTACACGTTCCCTGCTGATTTCCAAGTTTGCTACCGGTTGCCGCTCTGATTCTTGGCTTCTTGATTGAAATCGAGGCTTTCATCGGTTATAATCATCGTAATGATGATGAGATTTCCTCCAGAGCTAAAGCCGCAGCCACATATCCACATCCATCCGCTGTAGCTGTACTTTTTTGGGCCAGAATGGGGGGGAATGGCCAGAATGGGTTGTTGGCCAAAAGCAAGCACCGCTACCTGCACTCGAAGCTTGGGCCCAGGCCCAGGCCCAGGCCCAGGTTCGTTTGTCTAGTGAAATGTTGAAAGCATCATTAATTTATATTTTTTTTATTCTTTCGTTGGCTGGTTGGTTCGTCTCTCTTGATTCCGGCTTTATGCCTTTCAGCTTTGCCTGCCACATAGTTGCAGGTAAGTATGATAATTGCGGAATGAAAGGAGAGAGAAAGAGATTCGGTTAAAAAAAAATAAGAAAAATAAAGTGACCCATAATTACCCAGAACAATCATGGGAAAACTGACTGTAACTTGAAGTTGGTCTCATACTCCAACTCCACCTCCCCTTTCTCTGTCCAACCCTGGGCTATGTCTCTTATGAAGTACAATTATTTAAGCAATGCCATGTTTTATGATTATCTTTTGCCGTTTACACAACACGCGTAAAAGAAAATATGAAGTAGGGGAACTAAAGTCAGGCTATAACTTTTGGTCAACGCTTTTCGACTGGGAGATACCTTTATAAGTTAGCTTTGTCAATTTTTTTGGTAACTAGAACTAAGAGCTAGGAAAATACGTCTTCATTTGATTATTTAAGTGGGAAATCTTAATGAAAGTAAGTCCATAAGTATATTTCCCTTTTACCAAAACCATCAAACTCTTCAAACTACAGGGTACACTGCATAGGCACCCCGAGAAGTCCAGTAAAAAGTGCAGCAAAATCTCAGCAGGAGCAGGAGCAGAACCGATCGGGTCATTATTCCGGGGCCCAGTTTCCCTGCCAAGATAATAGTGGTCATCTCATCTCATCTCTCTGGGTCCCTGCTCTTGGGGCGATTTGATTTTTTATTATCGCCGCCGTTCGCCGGCCCTTTGTCCCTGTTTTTTGTTTATCTTTTATTTTTTCACCTGAACCTAAACCTGAACCAAAGAACAAGTGCAGTGGCAGCAAGTGCACCTTTATGGGTTCTGGTTTCTTTTTTTTTTCATTTTTTGTTCGTTTTTGAAGACCGGCTTTGTACCCTAACCTATGCTAATTAGACCGACGGCCTCGGCCTTGTTTTTATGCGCCTTTTAGCGTGAAGTGTCCGCTGTTACTTTCCCTCCCCTCCCCTTTGCACCATCCATTGCCATGAAAGAGCTGCATAAATTTTCTGCTTGACGTCAGCATGAATGTTTAATTAATGCCCGCGACCAACTTTCATGGGAAAAGTTGCAGCGGAACAAACGGTTAGCCAGAAATTGGGAATTGGGTCCTGCAAAACAGCCGATTTCTTGTATAAAAATTCCGTTCTTTATTCATTGTTATATTTTTTTTTTGTTTTAGTTGCGTGCAACCGCAGGACAGGTGGGCAGTTGGGTAGTTGGGCCGGGACAGGTGTAGCAAGGCTTTTGGGGAGGGTGCAAAGCCGCAAGCAATGCGTGACGTTGAATCAAATTTGCTGCGACTGCATGCCGTACTGTACCAGAAAGGTCAGATAGGTGGCCATGGCAGAGATAAAGAACAAAGTCAGCTCGTTGGAGACCTCAAAAAGACCCAAAGGACACACTCGCAGCTCCTGGTGGTGCAGGCGTCCCAGGAAGAGCTCTAACTGCAAGGATTAAACATGAATCAGTTTATATACGTAATCCTATATTTACCTTCTGATGATGATCCTTTCTCTCAGTCACATAGTAGTTCTCCAGACTTAAACGTTTCACCAAACGAGAGCCACTAATAGCTGAATGCACAGACATGGTCAGCAGAACCACATCTATTAGAAGTTTGATAACCAAACCCCAAAGATTAAAGATGTACTGTCTCCTCAAAATAGCATGGTAGGAAACCATAGCCATGGCCAAAAGACTCTGAGCCAAGGTGAGGAAAAGTGGCACATTGAAAAGTCGCTGAAATATCCTGGTTACCTGATGGATTTCCTCATATAGTGATAGACATTTATCCAAATTGGAGATGGCTTCTCGAGTGGGCTGTTGATTTGCCAGATTTTCATCTAGCGAACTCAATTGTGCTCTCAACTGGCAGTCCACATAGTTATTCAAGTCCTTGTAAAGGACACCAATGCTGAGGTAGCCCACAAAACACAGATGCATAATCATTCCAGTGCCAATGGAGGTATAGAAATCACAGAATATAGTAAGCAAGACCCAAGGCGTATATCTCAATCGAAAGGCCAAGAATACAAAAAGTAGGGATGCCACTTTAAACCCCATCAAAAGCAACTCATTCTTGTCACCAAATCTCTTTTCAGGGGAATTAGTCAGGTTTCTTAATCTCCGAAAGAGTTCTAGAAATCGGTTGACCAAAAGCAGCAGCTCCTTGCCAAACCAAAACTGCATCACCAGGATAATAAGACTGCAGATCAGACATCCAAAAAGTCGAAGGGCAAAGAAGGCTCTTAGATAAAAATCTTTGTATTGGCCCAACCATATAAAATAACTATATCCATAACAAGAACTGCATAGAATTCTGATAGCTAAGCAGATCCATAAGTAATTTCTACGATTGCTAGCCAGCAAATGAGAGTCCTTTTTCTGAATTCTAAAGGTAATCACTCCGAAAATGGTTCCATAGAGAAAGCAGCCGCGAAGGAGTAGTCCAGATATCCTGGAAACCTTTGAACAGCCCGGCAAACCCATTATGACTGACGGTGCTGAAATAGAAAAGCCATCCATGGGTAGTATTTATCCATTAAGTAATTAGTTTGTCGATTGAATGAGCAGTCAGAGAGTAAAGTACTTGCTGACCCCTATCTGGATTTTCATTTTTATTTAGCTTATGATAGAGTCTATTGATTGGTCATTAAGGCGGAGTACTTATTGATACAAAAATATGATAATGAAAATTAAGAAATACATAAATAAGTATTAAAGTTGCTTATCAAATTTCGGGACATATTTTTCTTTACATTTCACATTACTTTTCAAATAAAAACTTGAACTTACAAAGAATTTTGTTCACAATCGATTGGTTTGAATGCCATACTGTACTACATAGGTAAAATAGGTGATCATGCTGGACAAAAACAATAAGATAACCTCATTGGACACCTCAAACAAGCCCAAAGGTCTGACACGGAATTCAAAGAAGTTCAGGCGACTCAAGAACAGCTCCCACTGAAAGAGAGTAAATAATAAGCAACCTAAAGATCCAAAATAACCAAAGGCAACCCACCTTCACATGCCACTCCTTGTGATCACTAATAGGACAGTTCTCCAAGCTCAAACGTCGTATCACTCGGGAACTACTGACCGCTTCATGGACCGCCAAGGTGAGAAGTATGACATCTGCAAAACTCTTGACCACCAAACCCCACATTCCCACCTTACTGGGGTAAAGTTCACCGCGAATGATGACCTCATAGGACAAAACGGTTGTGGCAAATATCTTGGCTATCAGAATAATAAGCAGAGGAACTTCCAAGAGGCGATGAAATGAACGTCCCACACGTTCGATTTCATCATAAACCGAGATACACTCATCCAGGCGGTTCTCAACGATTCTAAGTTGACGTCGACTCACAGGACCTCCGCCAGGACTTTCCAGGGATCTCAGCTGCCGTCGTAACTCAACCCGCACGAACTTATTAGCCTCGGAATAAAGAGCAGCCACACTGAGGTAACCAAAGAATCCAATATGTATGATCATCAGAGAGCCAACCTCCAGGATTATTTCACAGAACACAGTGAACAGAGCCAACCAATTAGTAAGATTCCAAAGTTGGCACAACTCACAGTACAGTTCGTAGACCAAACAGATGAACTTGAAAATCAGCAGGAAGAACTCCCTTTTACCTCCAAATCCAAACTTTTTCCTGGACCACAAACAACGAACTCGACGAAACAGTTTCAGAAAATTATTGATCATCCTGAGTAGCTCCTTTTCATAGCCAATCTGTACCACCATGATGCACATGGCGCATATAAAGCTTGCCGTTAAACGAAGGCATTGTAGCAACCACTCGTGGGTATCTTGGATTTCGGAGACATGTGGGGCACAGAACCAACCAACGGTTGTGGCACTAATGACTCGCAAACTTATACAGAACCATTTAAAACGATCCTGACTGCGAGCAACCAAAGATTGGTCAGAGGTCCTTTGGCCAATTTTGAAGCAAATCACTCCGAGAATCCTGGCATAGTGGTAACTGCAAAACAGGATAACCGCCGAGATGGCCGGCAAGCGCACCTTCTTAAGACGTTCAATCATGACTGAAACTTAACCCTTTGGTATACCCAAAATATATAACTTAGCTTTATTTTCTTTTGGCTATTTTCTGTTTATTTATTTTGTGAACAACTATAAATATTGGTATTTGTCTTACATTCTTAAGACTAATTTGATTGATATTTGGTTAGTATGTTGTGTTAGTTATATGTTTTGCAATATGTATAATATTTATTAGAAAAAAATACTTAAATAACATTAATGATTTACCTTCTCAATCATATACTGTGCAGTGACAGTCAACCAATTAATGTAAGCTGATAAATAAATCAAAAACATTTCGTTGGAAATATTAAGTAGGCCCAAAACGCTGACTCGAAACTTGCACAAGTTAAGATGATTAAAAGAACATCTCCAGCTGTAAATAAAGTAATTAAAATTAACAATTTATTGATTAAGAAATTCAATCAATTTAACCATTCTAACCACAGTTTGTAACTCCTTTTGATTTCCAAACTTATAAATCTCCAAATTAATACGAATTAGCGAGAACTGAGACATGGCGCCATGTACTGAATGAGCCAGCAGAAGTAAGTCCAAAATATTCTTGGCAATGACAAACCAAAGTCCTAGGTTTCTAAACGGGGAATCTAAGCTACTCAAGTTAATACTTGTTAAAATAATTGAAGAAGCCTTATTGATTAGGCCTAGAAAAAGAGGCATCTCGAACCACCCTTGAAAGGTAGTGCTAATATGGTAGATCTCTCTATAGATAGCAGAACACTTTTTTATAAGATTTCGCATTTTTCTTATTCGCTGTTGACTCTCCAGAAAATCCATTTCCTTAAGTTCAATTTGAACATATTCATTTATCCGTGAGTATAAGAGACCTGTGGCTAGATAGGCCAGGAAATTGATATGCAACAACATTCCCACGCCGACGATTGTGAAGGAAAGGCACCACCATTCAAGCAAGTCCATTGGGGTTAATTCAACTACCCCCACAATCCACAAACGGAATATATCATCGATAAACAAGACGAAATAGAATAGAATCATCTTCAATTCTCTTCTACCGCCAAAACCAACTTTGTTTGGCTTAAACAGAGCACTTGTTTTACGATGGATAACCAGAAAGCAGTTAAAAAGTTTAACAATTTCTTGGCCATGAAGTAGCTGATATTTGACGATTACGAAAACAGTGGGAAGTTTGAGCAAAACGCCGTTAAGACGAATTATCCGGACAATGGTGTTCTCCGATAGAAGTGTGTACGAGGTATAAAAATAGATGAATCCACAGAAAGTCACAATTCGATGGGCAACACCAAGCCATTTCAGCCACTTTAGATTGAAAGCTTTAAAGCCTTTTTCAGTTTTCTTTAACTGGAAAAATATTATGCCCAGAATTTGGGAATAGAAGAAAATGCATCGCAAAATTGCGGAGCAGAATGTCGAAGCTCTCAACTGACGACGAACCATAACTGCCTGCCTTTTAATTTCAACTAAAAACTCATTAAGTTTAGTTTAATGAAAAGATGGCACTCTAAGTGCATTTGGTTAATGGGAACTTGGACTAAAGACAGACCTGTCATGCAGGTACTCTTGGAAAACCAACAAGAGATGACAGGCGTCCTTAAACACGGCTATAATCAGTTTTGACTGACAATTTAATTTGATTTAAAAAGATATTGCTGTTTCTTTCTAGAGATTTATAAAATATTATTAATTATTATTATTATTGATATTATTAGTGACATTGAGTTAAAACTTTCTTTTAAAATTAGATTATAAACCATAAGCAAGCTATATCCTACGAATCTTGATTACAAATTGTACTATAAAGACCAGATAGCACACCATTCCAGATACCAAAACAAGGTAAAGTTTGTTGGTTACATCAAAAAGTCCCAAAAGTCGAACTCTGAACTCATTTAGGTTTAGATTGATGACAAACATTTCCACCTAAGACCAAAATAAATATCTTAAAAACTTTAATCTTATGCAATAAAAAATAGTTACTCACCGTTTTGATCCATTCTTTAGACTTACTAACAAAATAAATATCTAAATTAATATTCCTTATAGCTCTAAACTGATTGGCGGCTTCTTGGATAGCCAAAGAAAAGATTAGCAATTCGATCATGCCCTTAAAAAACAAAGACCAAACCCAAAAGCTGGTAAAATTCAGATCTTGGATCATTTTATAAGACATTACCACCATTTGTAAAAGTATGAGAAAGGCACTTAGAAATAAATGAACATTGAAAATCTTCTGCAAAGGAGTTAGCACATCAGAAATTTCCCTAAAAAGCTTAAAAGTTTTCTTAAGCCTAATTCCTTGTTTAATCCTTAAGACTTTTGGCCTAACTCTTGAACCGAAACGTAATTTAGTATTTAAATTTTTGTAAAGAATACCCAAGCTAAGATACATTATAAAACTTATCCGCAGAATTGCATTACAGAGAATAACTACATATGTATAGCTGACCCAAGCGATCATATTTTCTATACTGACTTTCCACTGAAATATCCCCAATAGAAATACAATTTCATGCACTTGACAACTTAACGAAAGGAAAATTAGGAATAGCTCTTTTCCGCCTCCGAATTTCCATTTACCCAGAAATTTTTCCTCACAAAATATATCCAAATATCGGTTGGCCAACTTTGTTACTTCTGGTCCATGATATACCCTTATGAACATCATCGACATATAGCAGGGTATTAGAAACAGCAAACGAGTCAAATGCAGCATTTTCTGTATAGCTATATCTCTGTTCCAGATCCAACTACTATATGTATAACCATGTATGCAGAGAGGCAAAAATTGTATGATTATTGTTAACCACTTCCAACCGGAACGATTACTCCAACTTTCCTCCATCATAATATTATTATTCTTTGATTTCCTTAATCTGAACCACAACAATCCTATGTATCTGGCGTACAAGTACATGCCACGGAGTATTCCGACGGATAATTTTGATGCACTCATTCGGGTTAATAATGAAAATTGTCTTGCTTGCCTTGAACGCCAACGAGAAATTGAAAAATATTCCTGGAAATCAAAGTCCTTCAAGGGAAATTCTGTTAATGACAAATTGATTTTTTAACACTATCTTTTTGGCTGACAAGCACACGCCCACCTGCCAGCCAATATGATATCATTGACAATGTCTGCAACGGGCGATGAAAGATAAAACTATATTTATAAAGCTATGGCCAATCCGGAACTAATATTTGGATTATTAACATAAATAACGCATTACTTTATTGGTAATAGAAAAAGGAAATAGCATGTAACATTTTGTAAGATTTTTGCTTAAATATATTATAAATATTGGTTCTACTTTTGCCGTAACTGAATTACATATTGAAAAATGAGTAACATAAAGCTAATTATTGCCGAGAGAAAGACAAGAAATTGTTTCTTGGAAACCTCAAAAAGCCCCAAGGGTCGCACTTCTAACTCATTTAAGATCAGATGGGTGTTAAACATTTCCACCTGGAAAACCAAAGAAAACTTTAATAACTTACAGCTAAAGTCAATGAAGAAAATCACTCACCGTTCGGTCCCAATCTTCCCGTTCATTTATAAGGAAAATGTCAAGAATTAGTTGCCTGATGTACTGAAACTGTTTAACTGCATCACTAATAGCTAAACTTAGAGTGAAAACATCAAGTAAAATCTTAATAAAAAGAAACCAAATCCACACGTTAAAAAACAGCAAATGGTTAATCATATGGAACGAGATTATGACTAAGTGTAAAAGTGTATAAATTAGGCTTAAAAATAAGTGAATATTAGTGATATCCTGCAAGGAACGAACTACATAAGAAATTTCTCTAAAAATGGGAAATATTTTGTTCAATTGTTGAGACTGATTACTTTTGTTAAATTTTACTTGAAAACTTATATATTTCCCAAGATCTTTGTAAATAACTGCTAAGCTAAGATACCAGAAAAAGCTTATTCGCAGGATCATAAAACAAGCATAACCCACATAATTAAACATGGCCCAGGTGATCATATTAAACGTTACTGTATTATTATTCCAGTCTATAAAACCAAAAAGGCATACAAATTCCTCCACAACACAGGCCAAAGTAATGAGGACCAGAACTAGCTCACGTCCTCCTCCAAATCCGGAAGTTTTTCCAATATTCAAGGTTCTCACACGTTTATATAATTTAAGATATCGGTTAATCAAATTAGTCAAATTTTTTCCATGATAAATCTCAAGATAAATCATCGATAGATAGCAGGGAATCATTACTAAAAAACGTGGTGAGTTTAGTATTTTTTGTGAATATTCCAATTCCAAAATCCATAAAATATAGGTATAAAGATTGACACAAAGTGGCACAACTCGCAGGATTATTTTCAGCCACTTCCATAGCGATGAACTTCTATCAATGCCCTCTATTATCAAAGTATTATCTTTTGAATACTTAAAGCCGAATGAGACTAAGCCCATCCATTTGGCAACTAAAAACATTCCACTTAGAATTCCTGAAGTTACTTTGGGTACACTCATCTTGAAAGTAGAACTTGACCTGTTTAGTTTTAATATCCAATGAAATGGCGAAGTACAAAACTCTTTGGAAATGCAGTTAGTTAATGGAATGTTAAGAGATCTCTGGCATCATCCATCACCTGTCAAAAGTATACAGAATATATATGGAAAGTAATAACTACTATTGGGAGGGACAACTTTAAATAGTTAATAAGATACATTTATCAAATTATATCCATTTTAGCTTCTACAACAACAAAAGATACAATAATGTGCTAATATTTAAATTCATTTTTGATACAATTACACACATTACTACACAATCGTTTAAAATAAGATGATGTTAACTTATACTAAATCATTCCCATTACAGTTTGTACTATAAAAACCATATAGCTTAATATTCCAGATAAAATTACAAGGAAAAACTCTTTGGAAACCTCAAAAAGACCCAAGGGACGAACCTTAAACTCATTAAGAGTCAAGTGTGTGACGTAGATTTCCACCTGCGACCAAATGAAATAATGTTATTAATAGCTAAATACAAGTGAAGTAATATATAATCTTACAGTTTTGTTCCAACTTTGCGAATCGCCGGCAAAAAAGATGTCTAAAGTGAGCTCCCGAATGTTTTTAAGCTGATTTTTAGTTTCATGTATGACTAAAATTTGAACAAATATTTCGATAGTGATTTTTATTACGAAAAACCACTGCCAAAGCGTAAAAAACTCCAAATCTATTATCATTCGGGTAGAGCACATGACTATAAAATAAAGTTTGTTTGCTAAACCGAAAAATATATAAACATTAGCTATGCTTTGCAGTGAAAGTGCAACATTACAAATATCACAGAAAATATTCATAATCCTTTTTAGTCTCTGATGGGGCTTATATATGGGTTTTAGGTTACCCATTTGAGATAGGAACTCGGAATATAAAATTTTTCTAACTTCGTTATACAAAACCCCCAAACTAAGATACCAAATAAAGCTGATGCGTATTACCGCAGTACTTGCAATAGCTGTATAGGCATCACAACCGCATAATACAAGTGATTTTAATTTAAGTAAGTTCCAAGGATATATGGACAATATATTTATGGTTTCGTCAACTTGATAAACGCCAAATAAAAAAATCAGCAGAAACTCTCGACTGCCGCCAAGTCCAGTTATTTTCCTGCCAGCCAAGGATCTCACCCGATTGAAAAGGTATAGATATTGGTTGATTAACTTTATAACCTCCGGTCCATGGAAAATCTGTAGATAGATCATCCAATAATAACTTGGCACCGTGAGAGCAAAACATGCAAACTGTAGAGCTTGATGTGGTTTCTCTCTCGTCAAAACCCAATGAACAAAAATATAGTTGCCAATGCAATAAGGCACAATTCGTAGGATAATGGTTAGCCACTTCCACCACGAACGATTTTCACCAACTTCTTCCACTGCTAGAGCATTATCTTTTGATTTCTTAAAGCGAAAGAAAACCAAGCCCAAGCATCGGGCGAAAAGAAACCAAACTCGTAGAATTTTAGCGTTAATTTCAGGTATACTAATCATCTTTTCAAAAGAGAACTTTACAGCTAGACTTTCAATTTGGATTGGTATGGATTCCAAATACCTATAGTTGACGTTTTTTAACTTTTGGAACGATCTTTAGTTCCTTTGACAGTGACAAATGACTTCATTAATAAGCTGTCAAAAAGATATATTCCCTTGGCTTGGACTTTAATTAAATTACCACACTGTATTGGCTTATTATTAGAATATTACAATTTTCCTTTCATTTTCCATATTTAAAGACATTTTTTTTTGTACTTCTTTAAGCTGAATTCCCAACATCTCAATAACAAGGCAACACGTTCCCATTTTAAGATCACGTTTCTCAGATCTACGAATACTTATAGAGTGGCCCTTCATTCCAAGACCCTTACTTTAAAGTTGGCCAGCTCATCTCTTACTTTTGCTTTTGATTCACACGCTCACGATCAGTCGCTGACTATGGGATGCGATCCTGTGGCTCTAAGCTTGCTCCTCTAAAAAGGCAATGTAAATGACGCCCCCATTTCATGCTGTACGTGATCTTCCCATACAATATCTTCGGCTCAACATCTTCACTGTCCTATCCGAAAACTGAGAACGATTACAGCAGGCATCGCACAGCGAGATCTTTCGAGTCTGTCAAGCAGGGAATCCCCTCCCTGCGTTCACCCACGCTTCCCCTCTCTGGGAGTTCGCCTTTGTCTGACATTTGAAAAGAATTTTCACGTTGTATGATTTATTTTTTTCCTCATCTTCTTTATTTTCTGTCCGTTTTTTTGGTTTTTTTCTTCTCTTTTTTTTTTTTTTTTTGAGGGCAATTACAGTAACCACGCTTGGGCACGTACATTTTCCGGCATTGTACGAAAATTGTGGGAACAATCAACGAAATAAACAAAAGTGCTTTGCATGTCGTTGATTTGGCCAGCAAATTACTCTGACTTGGCCAACAACTGAAATTGCTATAGCAACAAAGGCAGCAGCAACAGCATCAACAGCAGTCGGAAAATAAGACTATCTTATCGAAGACGAAGTCTCGAATACCTCACGCCTCTGACTCAGATATTATGATTATTTTTCACTTTAAGATCATCAAGAAAACAAAAATATGGGAATTACTAATTAAATAGAAAGGCTACTATTTGGTATTGCTGAATATATCTTTTAATACCGAAATGGATATATTTAGGATTATATTATGGCTTTGTATCTATAGTAAAATAATAAATGAATCGAAGATTATTGTACTATGATCAAGGGTCTGGAGTTACTTTCATGCATTTTAGTATCTACTAGATATATAATGATCATAATTATAATCTTCAATTAGGTAGTTCTAGAAATGAGATATAGAATACATAAAGATCTTCCTGATCACTACATTCTATGCTATAGCATGACAGTCCCCCAATAAAAACCAATAATCCCTTATCTTGAAAGGGTATAAAGCCAATGATCCGAATCGAGTTGGGGCCAAGGAGACGATGCAAAGCCACAAGTTGGTCAGAAGATTAGAGCAGCTCCACTGTACTCCTCATTTTTTCCCCTTTATTTGACCTCACGGCATCTGGCTAAACTGAAGGAAAAAGCGAGATACATGATCACAGAACGAGATGGGTGTAGGGAGTAGGGGTACTCACTTCAGGGCTGATTGATTTCAATTTCAGCTACATACATATGTATGAATGTACAAATTATATGGCCTTGGCTCGCTTTTCACGCTTTTCCAGACATTGCACCCCACTCGACTGCAGCCACTGACATTAATGGTGATTAATGCGAAAACGGAATGCAATTAAATTCCGCCGTTTGGCCGTGCCATAAATTATTGTGATTTAGCAATGAACAAAAAGTCAAATAAAATGTGAAAGCCAGAAGGCATAGAATAACAATACTTACAGTAAATCAACACCCTGTATTCAATTTATATTTTCAGTTTTCTTTTTTTTAAAGGCACTAGTTTAACCAAACCGTTATGGCAGAAAGAGAAGACAACACATCGACGTCATAAATTTTGCTTTTCAGCTTTGAATTTATTGGGTGGTGAGTGCAAAAAAAAGATCGCGAATTGCGGCCAACGCGACTTTGCCGAGAGTACAAACACCTCTGCCAAGCTCCCTATTCACCTCTCTCTCAGCCTCTCCCGCACAGTAAGCGCACAATGGCGGTCGAGGTAATAGCACTAGGTATTTGTATTGAACAAAAAATAACGAAAAAAGGGAATAAAATAAATATTTATAACACACATAAAAATGTTAAAGAGTATATAATTTTATCACTTATGAAAATGTATTTAATTTTTACACTTCGTCGTGTTTGAATATATGTAACAATTTATACGAGTGCAATGTAAAATAAATTGAACCATTCTATAGAGCACATAAAATACTTAAAATATTTAAATGCCATGACAACTTCCAATTTATTTTATAGTTTACGAGCCTATTTAACAACTATGATATTTGGCATACACACGAGAACGTCGCAGTTTATTGATATCACCTTGAGTGCTATTATTTTAACCACAATTGTACGAGTGAGCTCTGTTGCGTTACGTGAATGCGTGTGAGTGTGTATATGTGATTGCGATGCGAGTGCAGAGCCATTAAAATCTTGAAATTGCATGCTAATAACCGTACCAGGCCGCTAGTTAAGTGGGCAAATATGTTGTACATGCTTGTTACTAAATGCAGAGCATGTAATTTGCCATTTCTGCCAGCAGTGCCATTATTATTGCATATTGCATTCTTGATTCGCTCAAGAGAGCAGTGCCAAATGCCTGAAAAAATAAAACCATAACGTCTAATGTCTAGAAACTGGACTCTATAGTACAGACATACATATGTATGTATGTATGAATGTATGTATGCATGTTTGTATCTAAGGGGAATTGATAATATATATCATTATTTTCATGCCCAACCTATTTACTCTTTCATGGGGTTTATATAGCCTATGAATGCCTTCAAGTTTTTCATGAAATCATTCCTAGAAAACTATTCCCTAAGAAATGTATGCCATTTACATCATGCAACTAATTTTACGTCCTTCTCTTGTAAAAAATTAATCACAAATCTATTGTTTCATTTCCTAATATACAAACAAATATTTCTGTAAGTTCGGCTTCCACATCCGTTAGATTTGTTGGATGATCATTGGGTAAATGAGGACGGTGGCCAGCATCAATCATCATCATGAAACGCCCAACGATCGTTTTTGTTTGCCGGAAGTCGCAGCCAATCTAATGTTAAGTGCCCACTCCACTCCACCAGATATAACACATATCTATCTCTATGTGTGTACATATATGTATGCATAGCACACAAATTACGGCTAGAAAGCATTTTCCGAAATGCCCGCAGGCAATCTACAGTACAGCCTCTCACGGGTGATTAGCGATGAAAACGAACGAAGGAAAATAGACTAATTGGAGAAGGTTCGACTTCCTTTTCCACTTCACGTCTTGATTGCATACCAAATGCAGAGGGCATTGAATGTAATTAGAACAGTGGAGACTCGAGAAAGGGAACGTGCGAGAAATGTATAAAAAATCCCAATAAGATCCACTTTAATGTCTTCGAAGAAATATCAGATTCCATTATCATCGAGACTTCACTGTCTGAGGAAACAATAGAGCGGCGCTTGTCTAATGGAGAAACTGTTGCATCCGCAGCTCGAGGGTCCAAAGCTGAGTCATTCCCATCAACTTATGGATCTCTATCTTTCTCCACTTAAGTGAGTTTGCTGGCCCAACTTTTCTTTACGCTTGAGAATAATCACGCCATCTTGGCCGAAAAGGGCCCCTGGAAACACACAGCCCGTCCCAAAGTAAGCAAATAAAAAGCTTTTAAATGTTTTTTGTTTTACATTTGTATTTTTAAGAGTTTTTTTAAGTTTTTGTTTTTTTCTTTCTACTGCTCTCTTCGCTTGAGAGGGGAGTACAGTAAAAAAGTTTTTTTTTTCAGCTTGCTTTTATAAGTTTTACAAAGTTTTTTAAGGAAATATACACAGTATTTGTTGTTAATTTTTTTTTTAGTTTTTCTTTTTTCATTTAGCTGCTTGGAGTTTGTTAATACTCCTTACAATATACACAGTTTGGTTGTTCAAAATAGTTAAGGGGGGAACTTATAGAGGGGGGATCATTATTTTGCCATAGTTACGAAATATTATACATAGACAGTACATACAATTTAAAATGTCACATCGATAATGTACATACAATAAATATGAGTGTGTTGAGTGTGTGTGTGTGGGTGTCTAGGGTGTATGGGTGTATGGGTGAATGGGTGTGTATGTTTGCATGTGGGCTAAGAAGAATTTTTAAATAATTTCAATTATAATTACATTTAGATAAACAAAATAATAAAATAGTTTTTTTGAGATCATGACACAAAGTAAATTGTAAATACTTTTGGCACACGCGTGCATCAGGACCCGAAAACACGCTGAGAACGCTTGAATTTGTTTGGATTTTTTGGGGGTTTAGAGTCTATATAATGGATGCATGGCGCCGTTGATCGCCTCTCTAAAATTAGCATTGCCTAATTACAATTTAATCTACTTTGTAAATACATACATATTCTGCGATCTAACATCTCAAGTCTTTCGCATTTTCACTACAATTTACGTATTGCCAATATATTACGATATAGTATAACGCCATGCATCCGGATATATTATTATAATTATTATTATTATTATTAATATTTTGCCTGTTTTTGGCCGTGCACGCGCGCCGATCTTTTCTGGTTTTCCTTTTCATATTTGTTGTTGTTTCTGATTGGCCTTTTCTTTCATCATAATTTTTCATGCAACAACACTTTTTTTTGGGACCTTCAAGTCTTGGTTAAAAACAAAAGTACAATGGGGGTACACCAAAAAAAAAAATAATAAACAAATTATTTTAGAAATTAAAATTACTTTTACAATAAATATCATATATTGCAATTGTTGTCATCCAAATCCTTCGAAAGTTACTGCTCCTTAGTGTTCAATTCGCTAGTATTGTTGTTGCTCTTGTTGTTGTTGCTGCTACAGATGATGATGTTGGTACTTTTAGATTTTGAAATTCCCTTGTTGGCCTTGCGAACGCGGTAAATGCCTGGAATGATAAGGAAAAACAAAGGTACAAAGTTAGTATTCGGTGTAGTAAGCAAAGGGAAATATATAATACCCTGTGACTAATCATAGTGAATAAAATAAAAAAATAAAAGTGCCAGCGTCATTTTTGACCTTCAGAAGGCAAAAGGGAAAGCATTGGCCAAGGTGCAGCGCGTCTAATTGGATGTACTAAATATATACACCGAATGCATACGTGTTTCTTTTCTCATGGGCAGCTTTCTTATCTGGCTGGCATTATGTATGCACACTTGTGCAAGCCAGCCCACCACTTATTTGTTTGTTTTAGTGAGTAAACCTGTACCTGGTCATCGACTGGCCGATATAATAAATGTCATGGCCACAGCGATAGCTGCAATCGAAAAAAGTGCAGCTGTATTGCGATCTATAGTCTAGTGTCTAGAGGAGGGGAGCTATAATCTTTAGCGAACGTTCGCCTCTGGCCAAATGGCTCATCAAAAACTTAATTGAACCAATTTCTATATGTAAAGAAGTTCTGATTCTATTGAAACTAATTAGTGGTAGGATCCTTTTATATCAGAGATCGAAACCAAACGAGATTTTTAAATATATATTACAGCAGTATCAACTTTTCATTAGAGAAATCAACCATCACTAAGAAAATTTCAACAGCACTGAGACTTCGAATTATTTTCAAGAGGTTATGAAATCCGTTTCCTTCAAGTCTTGAACATTTTTTCGAAATTCAATTTCACAAAATTGTGTAATATCAAAACTTTTTAGCTGCTCCAACTTGCTGATCTAAATCCAAACCTAACCACAAAGCCAATGAAAAACTAGTTTATCAAGCAAAACTGTTAGTCTGAGTTAGAGAAGTCTGACTGTACTTCTATCAAGCATCGAACACTGGCAGCTGCGGTTGCCTCATCACGTAAACCGCTAGAGCTTAGACGATCGCACAAAGACGCTCACCAAACCGCAGACACTGCGCAGTGACCTAAAAGCTGAAAAGCCGAACAACAGCAACAAAGGCGGGGGAATACAATAACAAGAAGGCCCCCAAGGCTAGCTTAGAAAGCCGAATACTTGGTCACACTTGCAATTTAAATTGTTCTATTTAGTATGACCACATTTTTAAATGTTTAAATTTTAAGTTAAGAATTGTTAAATGTTTAATTTTTTTATATTATCAACAATTTTTTTATAAAATATAGTATTTATATATTCAGAGATCTTAAAAATGTATAGTTTTCTGCAAGATAATGATAACTTTTTGCATAATATTTTAAAGTTTAACGAAGCTTGTAAAATTACTACACCCTTTCTTTTGGGGCGTTACAAACTAATGGCTAAAACTTAAAAGCCCCCAGAGAAAGAGAAGGGAAATCGCCTGGCAGCCAAAGAGTCGCGCTTCTGGCGATATAATCAAATGTACAGTTATAGAAAATTATAAGCCAGCGACAAAGAACGTCAAGCGAAACGGAGACGATCATCAAGAAAAAGGGGGAGGGAAAACGGGCAAAAAGAAATAAGAAAAAAACGAGCTCCCATTGTAAAAAGCGGGTGGGAAGAGTAAGCGGAAGAGAGAGGTCGGGGGAGTGCGTTTACCGTTATCATTATGAGCACGCAGCTCCAACTAGCATTCTATCTCTTTCTATCTTCTATCTCTGTATCCCCTTCTCGCTTGCACAACAACAAAACGCGTTTTGTTTACGAAATGTGTGTGGAGAGAGAGTCGGCGATGAAAACAGGAACGGCAACAAAGAATTCACATTATAAATATTTATGTGGGATCCCACGAGAGAGTTTCTGCATGCATAATTAAGAAACATAAATTTTAAAAGGAAATCACAAACATAACTGGCCATTTGGGGCGTGGCCCAGGCAAAACAAAAAAGTCACAAAAAAAACTAATAGACCGATAATGAGAAAACAGGGTTTTAAAATTTTGTAGATAAATAGATATCTAAACGGAATGCATCTCCAAAATAATATCGTGAAAAGTATCTTAAAGATCAACTCTTTTCAAAAAAGGTTTTTAAAAACCATTTAAAATGGAAAGATCTTAACCAAACTTGTATAGGAATATTTCCATTTTCTTTAAGTTTCTCATAAACTTAATGCGTAAAATGATCAATGGAGTGATCGTATCATAGAAAAAATTCCTTTCCGAATGTTGTCTGTGGATCCACAGTACAGTGGGGACCAAAACATGGAGAAAAAAAGTTGAACAGAGATAACAGAACTTTTGTCTAATTGATTTGTTTTTATTTTTTCCACTTTTGGGCCTGCCACAAGAGTACACAACACAACAAAAAACAACATTTGGCGCTGCTGTACTTACGCGATTTGCGCTTGCTTGTGTGTGTGACCTTCACGACGAGTTTTGAAAAACATCAACAACGTGCGTGCGTAGTACTACTACGCACAATAACACACACACATACGGAAAGCTTATCAGCGAAGACGACTAAAAATAAATACGAAAATAAGAAATTCGCGCCAAAACGCAAAAAAACATCATCAGCAGGCAGACAAACAGAGAGAGATACTGAGCGACAGAGATAGTGATATACAATGAGAGAGCGAGTAAGCGAAACATGCTCTCTTCGCTCTTTTGAAAAATTATAAATTTATATATGTATGTATGTATGCATGTGAGTGGGCTGACGTCGTCGTATAAGAGTGACGCCAATTGTTGTTGTTTTCCCCTGGTTGAGATTACGTTTGTCGTTGTGGGTGCGGCTTTACAACAACAAAAAGTGGGGAGCCCACCAATACCAGTAAACTCCATGTACAGTCACAGGCGTGTGCCAAGTAGTTGATTTTTTTCTTCTTGTTTTTGTTTCTCCTTGGAGAAACTGCAGCTAGCAACAACAATAACAACTAGAAAAATAAAAACCAGAAGGCGTTGGCGCTGATTTACATTTAATTGAGGCCTCTCAATTAATTGCCTTTGCATTTTACGCGTTTTTTTTTGTATTTTATATACTTTTGATTCGTTTTTAGCTGCAATCTAAAGAAAGAAAGATTTTTGGCGCGCGATTGTTATTCAACAGTTTTTATTTTGGCGTACAGTTTGTGTTGTTTAGCTTTTTGCGCTTTGACACACTGCCAAACCAAAGACAAACTGGCGACAGCTCTCTCTTTCTCCCTGGCGCTCGCACTCTCTCTTTCTGTTTCTCTGTTTGCCACGATATCAGCGCGATCGGAATATCAGCGCAAAAGTATGGCAGTCATAAATAACAATAAGCCGAAAAATTAAGAGGTACAGTCGAACTTCTATAAATTATTATAAAAAACTTATTACAAAACTGAAAACTATGTTTTCGCAGTCAAAAATATGTTTAAAAAACCTGGAAAACGGGTTTTCTGAGACTTTAAAACTCTGAAATACTCAAATTCATAGCAGTTGCTTTAAACAGAAAATGATTAATACTGCTCAAATTATTCATTTAAACTTTTCAGAAAATAATTTTATTAAAATAGTCATACTAAAATTTCAAAGATGCCTTTTTGTTGGATAAAAACTTAGGGGCCGTCTATTCCTAAATGCTTTTATTTATTTAGTTTTTTTAAAGCCTTTAAGAATCTTAAAACACGAATTTCACTTACAATAAAAACCCAAGTTTCGAGTTCCCCTTAACCAAGTCTAACTGTAGAAATGGCAAAACAATATTTCTCCGCCAGATTCTCCCCCTCAAAGAGTCAATAGAGAAAAATCGGACCCTGACATGCGGAATTGATAAAGAAGTCGGGGCTCCACGATGAAAGCGAAGTGTGAATAAAATATTCGTAACGTTTTCGTTTTACGTATCGTAAAATGGTTAGGAAACAGCCGAGTAAAATGGAACGGCGCAAAATAACAAACTTCTATCAAAACAAAAACCGAAAAACAAGATTTCGAAGTTGGTACGAAAAAAAAAATAAATACACAAAACGTGAAATGAATATGAAAGTTTGGAGAGGGTTGTGTGGGGGAGACGTGGGGGAACAGTGCCAAACAAACCGATAAAAAAGGGGCATTAACGGCACTTTAGCCACTCGAACTTCATAAACACACACATGAGAATGCATTTTGTGTGCACAGTTGTTGCAAATATTGATTTTAGCCCTTAGTGCAGTTAAATAATCAAACAAAACCAATAACTAATGAGAAACTTTAGAACCTCTATATTTTAGATAGTTTTCTTTTTAATGAAGGGTCAATCTATTAACTAAAAACTTGCAAGTTCCTAAGAATAAAATATAAAAATCAAAAACTTTCTATACACATTTTCACTCTTTCTCCGATATTTTCTCATTACTAAAAAAGAAATCCCTAACAAACGCACCTGAATGCAGCCAAAAAGAAACCAAACCGATAAAAATAGCCCAAAAAGAAGAGGGAAAAGCGGACAAGGACAAAGGAAGTGACAATAAGAATCAATGTACAAAGGGGAAAATACGAAATTAGGAAAATCTGAACACAGGGGTGGTTTTTTTTTGTCGACCAACGGAAAGAACTTCATAAGGGTGAAAAGAAGAGGAGAGTTCATTTGGGTTAAAGGACGAGCACAAAACAAGGACTGCAAGAGGAAGGAATAACGGAAGAAAGAAACCAAAATCAGGTGTCTGCTTATTGGACAATTATGTATAAAATAAAACAGAACATTTTCAGTAACTCTCCAAAATGTAATGCATAAAACAAAACTTCAAGGTAAATAAGGAAATGGATTTGAGATACTTTAAAAATTTTCGTTGGAGAAATCTAACAAATATTTAATTAAACAAAAGAGTATTTTCTTTTCTATCTATTCCTAAGTGTATCTTTAAGATATTTTCGTGCAAGACTTCAAGGTGTTTCTCGGCACTATAAATACCGCAAATAATCATGGGAAAAAACATACCTTTAAGGCCTTGTGGCTGCGTCGCATATGGCTTTTGGCCGTGCTGTCTCGTGCTGTTGGACAAATCTGCGGAGCTACTGATGTGGGTGCCATTCTTGAGGATCAGCTGAGCGCTGGAGGAGATCTGTGCGGCAGTCAGGGCCACGCCCGTTGGCTCTTGACTGATTGTTTTAGGATCGTATTCATCATCGGCATCGGCACTTGATATCGTGCGAATGGTTGGATAACGCATACCCCTAGGTGCACATTTATTAGAGGCATCCGCATCCGCATCGGGATCTGTGTTTGCATCCAGCTCCTGATCACGACGATCCTCTTGGAGAATATCTAAGCCGTAGCGCTCCTTCAGATACAATCTTGTGGAACGCTGTTCCTGGGCCAACAGCTGATCGATATCCGAATCACCGGGACTGGTATTAAAGAGATTGCGACGGATTCGCTTCTTTTCCGAGGCACTGGGTGGTGGGCGTGGCACTGGTAAGGCGAGTTGAAAGGCCAAACTGATCGGCGGACACATAAGGGCCATGGTTGCTGTTTGCTTTATTTGCCTGATTTTCGTTTTAAACTTTTAAATTTCTTCTTTTTTTTTGGTTTTTCTGGGTTGCTTGCAAGTATTTTACTCGCTTTTTTAGCTGCTTTACGCTTTCACTTGAACTTTCACAGAAACACTGCGCGAAATTTTACGAGCGTATTTTACTCATTGCAATTGCAGTTTCAATTGGTTTTCTACGGCTGGTTGAAATAATGATATGCTTTTTTTGTGTATGTTTTACGACTTTCACACGAGAGAGCGAGCGAAGTGCAGATAGTGTAGATACAAAACGACCGTACGAAGCGAAATTCGAAAGACGAATGAATGCTCAAAGCGGAATCTGCGCACAGGGAAACGTTAACAGTACGTACTGTTAGCTAACATACTCATTCGCTCAATATGAGCTGTTTAGCAATCGTTGTTCTCTCTTTAAATGTTAACCGGTCGCTTAACAGCGGGCGCTCTGGTGTTAAACGTAGCATGCGCTGTTTAGGCGGCGAGTGAGAGGTGACGCATGAAACAAAGAGAGGCTATTGTGGTGACGTCATAGATTGCACTAATATATTGGAAGAAAATAGTGAGTTTTAGCAAGCCCTTTGATACCTATTAATGTATTTAGCTCTTTTATTAGGTGTGAAACTTAAACAGATGGAAAATGTGGTATTATACTAATATAACGAGCGTCATCTGCACTTTTGTTTTTTAACAAAATTTGAAAAACTAAGCTTAATTTTTAAAGATTTTAGTGAGTTTAACTTTTATTTTTTCTTTTTTCTCGTATATAAGCGATCAAATTTGCGAGAAACACTTTTGTTTTTTATTTTTTGTACCCCAGATCAGTAAAAAACTGACTTGCTTACAAACAATCTGATCTTATGAATTCAAAGTAGTTTTCTGAGTATTTAAATAGCCTGATGACATCATAATCCCCCATGAAGTACACTAAAGAGTAGTTGGAATTAAGCTGCACCTTCTTAATGTATGCTTTACTGCAAGAGAGAAATACTAAATTCAAAGAGCGAAGTACCTGTTCTAAAGAGAGAGCTGTACCTTTAGAATTCTGCTTAATGTAGTTCCCCTACTTATGATAAATACTAGACTGGGACCTACGATATTGATTATTTACATGTAACAATTATGGAAAGTGAATCTGTTTTTCCTCAGTTTTGTTTTTCTTTTGAGTGCCAATTATAGGCCGTGTAAATACAATTAGTTATGCTAGACTCCGGGCTTGTTTTTGTTTGCCCCACACAAATACCAAGCTAAAACGCTAACTAACTGATAGGAGTATGTGTTAGCGCGTTTTTGGGCCCTAACTCAAGGTCAGACTGGGCCTCTTCATGCGGCATTAAACGGCCTAATTGGCCAGACGTGCCTAGAACAGAAAAAGGGGTAATATATATGTATGTATATAATTCCCTGGAATAATCTGTATAATAGAGAAGCTAAATATATATGCAAAAATATAACAAAAAAAAAACCACTTTCGCGCTCGCGGGGCAATTCAAGCGTGGTTCAAAATGAAAGTGAAAAGAGTTGAAAAACCGCATAGAAATGGAGGTAGGAAGTTGGTGTGTTGCCATTCTCCTATCAATGTGGGCCGCCAACACTCATTTCAATTTCCATTTCAATTTCAATAGTGCTGAGTCAGCCGAGAACCGGGAATTGACTGGGTTTTGGGTTATGCCACTTGGACCTGGACTGGAGCAGCAGCAGAAGCAGCAGCAGCAGCTGGTCTTGGGTAGTTGGGATCTTCAGAACCATTTCGTCTGGCCGGAGCGATTAGTCATTTTAAAGAGTGGCTCTGGACAAAGGCCGCGCCCAAAAGGATTGCGATTTATTATTGTTTTCAAGAGTACAGTGGTGACTCGCTAAGGGTACCAATGAGAAATGGGGGAATTAAAAAAACGTTGCAAAATTAATAACCATAAAAATATAATTATCCTTTATCAAAGTTTTTTGTAATCTTTCTAAATTCTGCGTACATTTTAATAGTTTTAAAAATCCCACTTACCTAGCATTCACTGTAGACATATGAAGATTGCTATCCCTTCCTTATATATATATCTTTTTTTTTTTGGCGCGATGTCCAAATTCGGATTGGCAACTACCTGCATGTGAGGTGATCGGGGGTTGAGGGTTGCGACCAGAGGTTTGGATGGGATCATCGGGTGGAATTGGTGGCACAGGTCGGCCTGGTCGTGGCTCTGACACCACTTCGAGTGTGTAAATCTCTATGCAAAAACCAACCCTCGCGCCAAAAACTATAAAATCGAGGCACTCGAAAAAAGGGGGAAGAAACAATGCAGTTGGAAAATGTGTTGCTAAAGTTGCTTAGATTCCCCTCTTTCATTGATTTTTCCTTTGAATTTTCCGAGCCACAGTTGCTGCGTCATTTCCACCGAAATGCGTTTCAGCCTTTTACTCATTTTGATTTCGTAGCTGCGCTGATTTATTTTACGAATTTGAATGCACGTCGTTGAGTGTATGGGCTTTGTATATTTTTATCTTGTAGATACTTTTTTGTTTTTCGTTTTTCCTTGGTACGTGTCTGGGTCTGCTGATGGGCTACTTTTCCGCCGTCACTTCCGTCGAATGCAGCTTGTCGGCGGAAAACTCAAGCTGTTTTTCCCCTGTCGTTCGGAAATTAGTTTATGGCCCACGTACCACGTAAACCCAGGGAATCTACAGAGAAGAATGAACCCAAGCCCAAACCCAAACCCAAACCCAAAACTGATCAATGGAACTGTCGCACGCGCTGCCCATGAGGTTAACTGCTGTTTTAGTGCCCAAAAAATGCTCGACGGCTGACGTCACGTTTGTCTAATTAATAAATGAGCTCATTAAAGAGTCCCCTTCCCCAGCTGTTTTTCTTTCATTTTTTGTTTTTACTGTTGCTGTGTGCAATGTGCAATATGGATTTGTGTTGCTCGCATTGCTCGTGGCAACAGAAACTGCAGATATATCGTACATATGTCTGTATCTGGTTGTGATTGAGTGAAATGTATCTAACAAGCGTGTACTTTGCTCTTCAGAATGTTATGCCAATATTATGGGGACTATTTAACCTTAATCAACAAATTTTTAGTTTGATTTTTCAAAGAAGTCTATGTACTCGTATATACCAAGTATGTATCTAAACAAGACTGAGAGAAATGCATCTAAAATGTGATTTAAAAGTTGCATATAACAAGTAGATTTTAATGGGGTGTTTTCAAACTTGTCATTTTTATTTTTATTATTTTTAAAGTTATCTTTAAGCGCTTTTGAAAATGAATATGTGATTGAGTATATGAAACTTCTAGTGGGAAGGGAATTCCCTTCTTCTCTTTCTTACAATGAGAAAAGGGGAATACATTGCGTTGTGACATTTTTATTTCAAAAATACTTATATAATTATAAGTAAAATTATAAATAACTTTGAAGCAAGTTTACATCAAATTTTTCAAATCATTTTAAACTAGAACCATTATTTGTTGTATTTTTCCATTTATTTATTTACAACTTCTTGCTTAAGGCTTACGCCAAAGAAACAGGTAAGAGAGCTCCTTTAACTATATTCTAATTATTTTATATGTTATATTTATTATACCTCTATGTAATAATAAGTTGGAAGTTATTAATCATAACCTTTTTGTAAACTTTCATAACATTTCATAAATGTATAACAAAGAAGTCTGTAAGTACGTAAACGTAAAAAGAATTCAATGCGTCATGGTTAGTGACTCATAATTAAGTAAAAAAGTCGAAGAAGGGACTAAAGACTACATATATATCCCATATCTACTCACTTCTCATAAAGCCAGACAAGTTTCTCCAATTACCTGAATTATCAATAATGATTATGGCTTTGTAAACACAGAAAACTAATGTTTATTTATTTTTAAACACAAGGAAACTCTACAATAGAAAGAGAGAAGAAATAAAGACTTAATAAATGGAAACAAATTTATAAGGGTGAATAAAAAACAGAAAATTGTAAGATTTTATACCATAAATAGTGGATAGCTATCCTTCAGGGTATATGATAATATGATAAGATAAAATATAGCAAAGACCTTAAAAGGGATTTGAAATGGATTTAAAGTGACTTTCCAATCATTCTCATCTCTGAAATCTCCCACAAACTTGGCTTATGACTACAAGTTAATATGAAAAATGTAACCTGTCCCACTGCAGTTGCTTTCCATTTTGCATTCATTTTTTTTGTTTTTGGTTTTTATTATTTTTTGAGGCATCTGTGAATTTTGCGCCAATTTCTGCGGCTGCTGCTGCTGCTGCTGCTGCTTCTGGTGCTCTGTGGATGTGGATATATAGGATGGATGTGGCAATGTGGATGCGGCTGCCCTCATCATTGGTGGCACACGGATACGAATACGAAATACGAATACGAGTGCCAGTAGTGGCAGTGCGAATACCTGCTGCTGGTAATTTTGAGCAAACATTTTTTGCGCCAAAAACCAAAACCTGAATCTGACACAGCCCGGTGCAATCGCCCTCTCTCTGCCCCGCCACCGGCCAGCGCTCCATATATCTCGATATCTTCCTTTCTCTCTTCCCGTTTCCGCACTTGAAATACATCCACAAATGCACTGAGAGAAGTTTGAGTACTATATATAGGATTTTATCTTGGGAGTTCATTAGCTTATCAGAGCCAAAAGCAAAAAGGTAACAGAAATATTCTTGAATTGCATTTCACATAATATAAGATACAAATTCCTTTCTCAACTTAACTTATATCTATTTACCTCCCATTAAACTGTATCTCTTTTTCTCTCAGTGCACTTCCACATCCTCACACGCGTTCTCGTATCTCGTTGAGCTGCTCAAGCTGGAACAAGTGCTTTGCTTTTTCCTTTCTTTTTTCTGTTTTCTTTTTTTTTTTTGAGCAGCAGCCCGAGAATCGGTGACGAGAGGAGGCAGCTTGGCTCAAAGAATTCTCGTTTTGAGCCGCCAAAAGTAACATCTGCTCCCCAAAAAGCATAGACAGTCCAGGAATTGTCGCTGTCCGCTTTAGGTTTCCTTTTTTTTGGCTTTTATTATGGCCTTGCCCAAAAAAAAAAGAAAACATTAAAAAGGGAGAGGGGAAAAAGGGTTGAGGTATGCGGTTTTCAGCTGGAAACTTGGCAGCTCAAATCAGGAACTTTCGGAGGGGCGATAAATGCGTATCAATTGGACTCTCGAGGGATAGAATTACACCTTTACAGTACTCGCCATTTATGGAGGTCTGTAATTAAGGTCAGGCACTGATTGTCCTCATTGTCTTTGATTGTGGTTTTGGTTTCTTTTACTTCCTTTATTGAAAAGGAAAATGAAAAGAAAGTTCTTG